TCTTAGGCATAATAAGGAACAGGTATTTTTCATCAAGTATTGATATGTTGAACTTTAAGTCCCTACAGAATATGATAAAAAAATTTTAAAAATTAGATATTTTAAAAGTAGGATAAAGAATTCTATACTTTTCATATTTGCACAGAAGTCCAAAAATCTCACCATATACAACCTTGAAGCAGGACAGTCCCACAATATTCCTTTTCCTGTTGAATGAATGATTTTTTAAAAAAATGATTTTACAAAAAAATAATCTTGAGCTGGGGAGACAGCTTAGTGGCATAAGTACCTGCCTGGCAAGTACACAGTCTGAAGTTCAATCCTGGGAACTGAAAAAAAAAAAAAAAAAAAAACCTTCACTTCAGTTATCACACATACATCGCTTACACTGACAGCACGTCTTGCTTTCCTGGCCCTTTTGTAGGACATACTTGACATCTCAGTGCTCTTACTGTTTTGTCAGGAGGTTATTAAATTGTTCACTGTGTAGTTAACAGGAACATAAAATAACAATAAAAGAGTATTAAACTCTTAATATGAATTGTGTGTTTAGAATCGACATTAACATTTTCACTTCAGCTCTGTCCTTGCTTACAAAATCTAAAAGATAACATCAGAAATAAATTCCTTTATGAACTAGAATGAAAATACCAATAGAATTCTACCACGAAAATAAACTTTGCTTCAAATGTCACACCAGAGGGTTCTTCACACATGACAGCTGCATGTTCCATGCACTTATCTTGCTTATACTGACAGCAGGTGTGCTCAGCCTTCCTTTCGTGTGTGGCCATCTTGTCACCTCCCTTCTCTTCCTGTTTTGTTAGGAGCTTTCTACTGTATTGTACAACATGCACTTAGCAGGGAAATAAGATGTCAATAAAATACAAAATCAAATATATAAAAAGTGCTTAGAATAGACAACATTTTCACATCATCTGTTCACTTACGTACAAAAATCTAAAAGATAACATCAAAAATAAAAACCTATGTGAACTATAATGGAAAAACAAAAGTCTACCACAAAAATAATTTTGCTTCAACTGTGACACCCAAGGCAGTCTTCACACATGACAACTGCATGTTCCATACACAAGTACCACTTGCACCAATAGCACATATGTTTTGTTTTCCTGTACTTTCTTGTAGGGCGCAGTTGACATCTATTTTGTTTTCTGTTGCCACAGCAAGTCTTTGTGATGCTGTGCCTGCCTGTGCACATGTCAGCTTTCCAGTGGGCTCCACAACTTTTTTGCATAGTTCAATGGACAGAAATGTTTTGTTTTTCCTCTCCTGTAAATGATCTGTTATGAGCTCTGGTTCCCAATCTTTTGAGAAAATTTCTCCATGATATTTTACACTTGTTATTTTCTTTATAAACTAAAGAACTATTTCTTCTAGACATGTTTAAATCAAGTAAAACTCAACCTCTGACCAGTGCTTTGTGTTTAAGGTGATATGATAGTTGCCACACAACTCATCAACAACATCTACTCCACTTTTGTTTTGTTGTAGAAAGTTTCCATCTCAGGCTTCCATTTTGTCAGGGTTTCCTTATCAATATTTCCATCATGGTGAAACGTTGACATCAGCAGTACCAGTCTGCTTTTCTTTCCCACATACAAGGCCAGTATTATATCTTTCTGAAATCCAGAGATTGTACCATACAATTCTCTATTCTGAAATTGCAAATTTCATTTGGAATTGCTGCTTTGGTTATGCAAATAGTTCCTATGCTGGTCAACTTGTGCTCTGTTAGAAAATGTAACAATTGGAAACTAGTAAAACAATTGTCAAATGTCACATTCCAGTTAGTTTGGGAGAGGGGAACAACAAATCTACTCATATCATTTGGTTTATTACTGCACAAATAAGACCAGTGTCTGAGTTCCAGGATAAATGTCTAAAATGAAACCATACTAGGTCTTCACATTACAAGGGCATAAATTTTTATGCCATATTTTGACCCATTGCTTTTCAATAAGTCTTTTACATTTCTGCAGTCACCATGAGAAATCCCTGCTAAGTACAGCAGACCAATGAATGCTTTCAGTTCAGTTAGTGAGGTCTTAATAAATATAGTACTTTCACATGGCCATTGGTGCATACAGAACATTTTACTTGCATTTCAGCCTTTGTGTATTTCATAGCATCTCATAGCGTTTCATCTGTTATGATTTCCAACAGTGAATGGCAGTTCAATTCTGTTCAATACCTTTTACCCTTGACAAGATCCTCACTGTATTTTCAGATCTAGTCCTGACATTGGATCATTCCACTTGGTTGTATGGCCATTTTGCAATATTTCAACTAGTCAAATATATATTCACATTGCTGTTTTCTTCATAATCAGAATCAAGGAGGTCTACATTCCCTATGCCTATATCAGTTGATTCTTGCTCCATTCCATTGTCGTAGGGACTTAGGCTCCCAAGGACGGTGTCAAAGTCTTCATCACCATTGTCACCATCCACGCATACCACTCTTCTATTATTACCATAATGGATCATCTTCATCATCCATGCATTAGTAATCTGATGAGTCACTTTTCACTTCCTACAAAACTTGCAAATCCAGTTATTCATGTGCCACTGTACTAAATTGGGCTACCAGAAAAAATGAAAAAAAATTTTTAGCAAATCCTAAAGTAGTGTTGGGTCTGTTGGACCCTCTATGATGCTTAGGTAAACATATACAAAACTAGTTAGGTGGAGTATAAGCTGAATGAAAATTCTATTCTGACACTTTTGTACATGTGCACATACCTTGCCACTCATTGCACCAAGTGAATAGATATCTAGATTGCTTCCTATATGCTTCAAGGGAAGATTCTAAGATGTATAGGCTGCTACTATTATGCTAAAGTATAAATATACAGTAGAATAGTAAAGGATGTGTCTGGTGGGCTTGGTGTTACGTTCCTATGAAGTTCAAAGGCAAAGGTTTGCTCAGTGAGCAGGCTCAAAAGAAAGGGAAATGGGGTTGTCCAGGTGGCTTAGTGGACTAAGCACCTGCTTAGGCAAGCGCAGAGACTGGGGTTCAATCCCCGCACCATATGCCACACCACCCCCACCCCCTGGGGCACTCTGAGCCAGCCACTGAGACCAGACGTGATGGCACATGCCTGTAATCCCAGCACTGG